GTCGAGTACAGAAAAGTTGATAGAAGCAGAAGATACTTGAAGACGATGTAATCAGTCCATCACCCTTAAAGTTTTGAGGTGGTCAGTCCCTCAGTCTGGAGAAGAGCATTGTTCCATAGTATGAAACAATGCTCTTCTCCAGACTGAGGGACTGACCACCTCAAAACTTTAAGGGTGATGGACTGATTACATCGTCTTCAAGTATCTTCTGCTTCTATCAACTTTTCTGTACTCGACTGAAGAAGCCTACTGTGTAGGCGAAACGTTTCATAATTAAGATACCTAACTGTTGCATATGTGTCTTACCTAACAACCTGTCGGTATTTTATACCATTTTAATGTTCAATCATCTTTACTAAACATATCTGCAATCGCCTGTTTGACTTCTATACTGTAACTATGATCTCTGGGCTTTTTAAGAGGGATATATTTTCTAGACTTTTCATACTTCATTTAGCTTCTCCATGCATTGTTGTTCAATGATCTTTATATACTTTTTCATTTAACATTTGGGAGGTTGAAGTCTTCAGTGCCTTGAGTATACCTGGAGTGTGTTTCGGGGGGGTCAACGCACCCCTCGGGCCGGTTTATGTCCAAGGAGGATAATATATTACATTGTCATGGCAACCTTATTTTTTAAGCTCAGTAATAAGGATTGTGTATTTAATAACTAGCAATTTAATCCATTCATTATCGTTGTTAATTATAGAGACAAGTGCTTCCTGCCTGGTCATTATCCTTCAGTAGTGGTGTGCCACAAGGCGGGAGCGTGAACCGTGAATGTGTAGTAATTACCGTCTCCACAGGTGTTGGGTACCGGTACCGCTGTCGCTGTGGTTTCAACCACTGCGGTGACCCTGGCTGAAAAAAAAACTTGCTAAGTTCGTAACTTGAAGTTCTTGGCAAGCAAAACATGGTTATAAAAAAAACTGATTCCTCTGTCCGAGTCAGATTTATTTCTCAAGTTTGTTCCAGATGAAACAACGAAGTTCTTGACTGATTTAAGTACCAGCGGCTTGACTGTCCAGTCAAACCGTGTAAATATATTTGCATCGATATATTTCCTGAACATGCAGTTTATCTTAGTTGATTTTATTCTCAGAGCTGCGCTTATTTCATATATTTTGAAAAGGGAATTTTCTTGAATCTTTCCTCGTAAAAAAAAAAAAAACACTAATGAGATATAATGCGATCTTTCACTGACAACGTTTCGCCCAAACAGTAACCTAACCGAGCATTAATTTGAAGAAAAAGGCACAATACTGTGACTGAAACAATACACAAATAACCCAAACATAGGAAAGAGAGCTTAAGACGACGTTTCGGACCGACTTGGACCATATACAAAGTCACATTGTAACTTTGACGTGATTTACCACCTATTTTGTAGGCATGGATCACATCTGTCACCTTCCACGTACCCGGCACGATGCCTGTCCGTAACTACACAAGGCTTTAATTAGTGCGACCCCGTGATTATCATAAAAAAATAGCAAAACGACCAAAAAAAAAAAAAAAAGTATTCCCGTGCCGGGAATCGAACCCGGACCTCGCGGGTGAAAGCCGCGTATCCTAGCCACTAGACCACACGGGATTCGAGCGATATCGACTTGGATACTACATTTACGAATACTACCGCCTACACTACACAGTAAAGTCTTCGTTTAGATACTGGTTATAATAGCACAAAATTCCCTTTACTGTGTTACTGATAACACACATTTTGGGTTATCCTAGGTAATCAACACACACGCTATATACACTAGCTGAATAAACTTAAAATAAGCTTTGAGAGGGACAGCTTAGCTGTGTAGAGCTTCATGCAGTGACTAGAAAAAGCTTTTAAGCGGTGCGGAAAGCAGTCACAGAAAAAAAAATTTGAGCACGAGTCGAGCGTTGTATAGCCCTTGTGGTTTGGCGCTTCTTTTTGATTATAATAATAATGCGCATGAGTCGTCTTAACAACAAGACAACTGGAAGGTTAAGAGGCAATATGTAGTTCAAAACATTTTGCCGAGACAGTTTCGCCCACTGGTGAGAACTGATCATATCTACACCTTTGATATACCTTTGATATTACCTTTGAAGAATTTCGAGAGTATATCTACTCTTTGAGCCCGTCCATGGGCCAGGCTCGTCTGGTGCTCGCCTGGTCAGCCAGGCTGTTGCTGCTGGAGGCCCGCTGCCCCACATATACAAGCCATATATTGTTTTAACATACCGGTGTAGATTTCCAGTGGTGTATATATATATATATATATATATATATATATATATATATATATATATATATATATATATATATATATATATATATAATATATATATATATAATATATATATATATATATATATATATATATATATATATATATATATATATATATATATATATATATATATATATATATATATATATCCACTACAGTAGTGTGTAGTTTGAATATCAAAATGGTATACACTACTGACAGGTTGGTAAAACACATAGGCAATAGTTAGGTATCTTTATTCCGAAACGTTTCGCCTACATAGTAGGCTTCTTCTGAAACGCTGTTTCAGAATATGGAACAGAACTCTTCTCCAGCCTAAGGGTTTAATAAATTCATATCTAATTCAAGAGTATAATGGACTGATTACCTCGTCTACACATCTCTACTGCTCCTGCCTACTTTCTGTACTCGACTGAAGAAGCCTACTGTGTAGGCGAAACGTTTCGAAATAAAGATGCCTAACTGTTGTATTAATGTTGGTAGAATTACCGACTATATGTTAGGTAAAAGGACATGCAACTAATGTAACATTTTACTGTGGCAACGTTTCGCTCACCAGGAGCTTCATCAAGCCTTTTGCCTAAGATGCCTAACTGTTGTCCATGTGTCATACTTAACAGTGTGCAGTTTGTATGAAGAATCGGTGGAGCTGTCGGAGTGGGGGGAGTTGCTCCCAGGAATACCCTCCAGGTAGATTATGGTTTGTTTTACGGGGACTGTACCTCCTGGTCCCTCCAGGTAAGTTTATTTAGGCAAAGGTACACACATGTACAATTATCATAGTATAAAATATATACGATAACCCCAAAGAAAGACAAGGCGAGTTATTTCCATTGAGGTCCTAGAGCTGCAATGCTCCTTTTTTTGTGTTATAATAATAATAATAATAATAATAATAATAATAATAATAATACTAATAATAATAAAATAATAATCATTATCATCTTTACTGCAAGTACATGTACAAGGAATACAGGCCTAGCTGACATCAATGACATACTGCTATATAGGGGAAAATTTAGTCAGTTTTGTCTCAGGATGCGACCCACACCAGTCGACTAACACCCAGGTGAAAGGAAACACGTCCAATGTTTCCACCCCTTCGCCGGGAATCGAACACAGACCCCTCACCGTGTGAAGCGAGAGCTTTTGCCACCAGGCCATAGGGCCTAGTGAAGGAGGGAAGACGGGAGGGGAATGAAGGAGGGAGGGGGAAGGAAAAGAGGGAAGGGGAAGGGAAAGAGGGAAGGGGAAGGGAAAGAGGGAAGGGGAAGGGAAAGAGGGAAGGGGAAGGGAAAGAGGGAAGGGGAAGGGAAAGAGGGAGGAAAGGTAGAGATATTAAATTACATGTTTACGCTCCGGAGTTCGGGGCGTCAAGATGCGGAATATATGGCAGTCACTGAGATTAGGAGAGATGAAGACTTCTTGATGAGTGTTAGTGGAACACGTGAGGAATGCTGGCTAGTGCCAGAATGAAATGTATATTCCAAAGGTGGAGATGAAATATAGGTAGGGGTGGTGTGAGGCAACCTTGCCTTCAATGTTGAATGATTGCCAACCCTTATAGCATCCACCTCAATCATGAGGTTATCCAGTCCCCTTCCCACTCTCTCAAATACACTTATGTTATTATCCACCTCACTACTCTTCGTATTCTCTCTTTCGTGTTTCCCTCCCCCCCCCCCTTCACCCAGTTTTTTCTCTAGTTCCCTTTCCCCCTTTCTTTTCTAATCCCCTCCCGTTTCTTGTGTTCCCTTCTTTCTTTTCATCTTCGTTCTCTTTCCCATCGCTCTTTCCTTCATATTACACAATCTTCTCTCTAATTCCCCTTCATTCTCATCGCCGCTTCTTCCTTCATTTCTCTCCTCTTCCTCCCAACCCTGCCTTCATTCTTCACACCCTCCCTCCCTCCCCTCGGTTTCCCTCATCACCATAATATGGTAGAAACATTCTCACGATATTTGACACCTGTTAGTCTGGCCTCCGCCCACTCTCAGTGACACCTGGCCAGGGTGGTAGAGAGAGGGAGGAAAGGAAAAAAAATAAAGAAGAGACAGAGGAGAAGGGCGAGTAGAAAGGGTAGAGAGAAGTGAAAGAAGGGAAGGATGCAGCGAAGGACGGGAAAATTGGAGAAGGAAATGAAAGACAGAGAGGGAAGGAGTGAGGTGTAGTAGGTAATATGCAAGGGCTCCTTGGTCTTGTCTAGACTGAACTACACAAAGGAGCCGGAAGCCTTAAGGCCGAGGGACTGACCACCTGAAAGCTAATTTAAGACTGATGGACTGATCACATCTTTACCTCTTCATGGCTTCTGCCGTCTCCATTTTCAGTCACCTCTATCCTGCGCAACATTTGGGTGTCTTTATTCTGGAAACGTTTCGCCAGCCAAAGGCTTCTTACAACCTGTGGTTTCCTTACACCTGTTGTCCCGTTCACCTAGCAAGTAGGTACCTGGGTGTTAGTCAACTGGTGTGGGTGGCATCCTGGAGGACGAGATTGAGGACCTCAATGGAAATAAGATAGACAGTCCATCAGTGACGTACTGCGTCATCGAGGGTTGTCCTGGCTGGATAACTCTTTAGGGTTAAAAATTAGAGCAACAAAATCTTATATTATCCTCCCTTTCTCTTTCGTGTCTGTGTGTGTTAGTTCCCTTTTTTCCATCATCCTCTCTGTCTCCATCTCTCAACCTAAGTCCTTCCTTAGACACCAAGAGCATCATGGACTCACGTGCAGAGTGCGATACCATCCTTGAGGGCGTGGCCGAATGCGAGCTGATCAATGAGTCCATCAGACGTAGGCCAGTCCAGAGGCACTTCGGTAACGGCCTCCACCCAGTCACACGCCTCACGCGCCCGATGCAAGTCAAACTTAGCCTGACTCTGTAGGGAAGAAAACCTTGGGTTAGTAGAGTACTCTCGCAGTTTTGAGACAGTTCTCTATAGGAAGCAATAAGACAGATCTTTCGTTTTATGCTCTATTTAATAAGTAGCAATTAATATATATTATATATATATATATATATATATATATATATATATATATATATATATATATATATATATATATATTTACGTCACAGGGCACTCCCAAAAGTTTCCCGAGGTCCCTGCTGCCACGAGCGTTTAATCCCTAGTAACTCAAGCTTCCAATCTTTTTTTCTCAGTCGCTCATATGAAAAAAAAACTCACTCACCCCCACCCACACATCCACCCAGGCAAGGTTATAATGTAAGCCATATCCCCTTGAGGACCTTGCCTCAGCTCAGGGCGGAACTAGCCAGGCTGCAACACCCTAATTAGTGTCCGGATGAATTAGAGGTTTATACTTTCACGTGTGCCTACTCGAGGCCCTTGATGTCTGTTCTTTGATTATTGTTGTATTTTTCTGTATCTGCCTTTAAAATGTTACCTTATATAATTCATGTTTTTTTATTTGTAATCTGAACAAAAATTAAGGTTCGTTAATATCTGATATGTAACTCATTTCATCGGCCTCCAGGAGCCCTATTGAAGGAAACTTTCGCTCTCCATATACAACACCTGGGTATTTATATCTGAAGACGTTTTTCCCTCTTTATTCAACTGATGACACACTGATGAAACAGGTACTGGTAGTTCCGTAGGGTGAGCCCCAGTCCAGGTCTTCTCTATGTTGTGACCAAGCGCTGCCGAAATATAATAAAGATACCCAAGTACTGAATGTTTATAATTCCTCGACTTATTGAAGGGCACAAGCAAGGAGATGCACAAGGATCAGCACAAACAAGGACCTGCACAAACAATGACCAACACAAACAAGGACCAACACAAACAAGGACCAACACAAACAATGACCAACACAAACAAGGACCAGCACAAACAAGGACCAGCACAAACAAGGACCAGCACAAACAAGGACCAGCACAAACAAGGACCAGCACAAACAAGGACCAGCACAAACAAGGACCAGCACAAACAAGGAGCTGCACAAACAAGGAGCTGCACAAACAAGGAGCTGCACAAACAAGGAGCTGCACAAACAAGGAGCTGCACAGTTGACTGATTGCAGTACTCCTCTGATCTTGTGCTTGAAACATCGGACATAGTATCCAACATTACCCAACACTTATTTCATATCGCATTTTCTCTGTACCTTTAACTCCTTCAGTGTAAGCTACATTTCTGACCACATCAGCCGTCTCCCACCAAAAAAGGGTGACCCCCACAAAAGGGTGACCCCCACAAAAAGGAAACACTTCCACCACTATTCATTCAATTGCTGTGTTGCCAGAAGTAACATCCCTCTTTCATAGACGTTTCCCCTCACTCGCACCAATTGAGGGAAGCCTTGTTCAAATTAAAACGTTTCTTATTCCTCGGTCACTTCACTAGTACACTAATTGTGGCCTGTTATGTTTTTTAATGTAACCTAAAACATCTACCTAATTTAAATTATTATTATAATCAAAAAGAAGCGCTAAGCCACAAGGACTATACAGCACCTAATTTAAAATGAAAAAGAAATTAGGAAAAAAAAAAAAAAAAAAAACGGAAGTTTTAGTAAAAGTATGGGTTGTATATACGATTTGTTTATCAACTTGTTGGTTTTCTAAGACATTTGTGCAACACTTCGGTATCTTTATATGGGAAACCTTTCGCCGGGCAGTGGCTTCTTCAGTCCAATGCAGAGAAAAGTGTTGAAAGGGTTGTATTTTGATACACTGTAGGCAGACATTTAACACGGTAGTTACGTTCCAGAAAATGCCATGTTAGGTAAAACTGTTAGATGAACTGAAGAACTTATGGGAAAATAGGGTTACGTTCGAGGGAGCCCCAAAAAGCCAAACAACTTTTTTTTTTTTTTTTTTTTTTTTTTTTTTGACCAACAGGTCTTACAAAAATAAAAATGCATATGTAATTGTAGTTAATTGTCCTGATATATTACTGCTTAATACTACAAATGCAATAGCAATAATATTTCTTACCTTAAATTGTGGGTAATGGTGTTTGTGGATGATTGCAAAGACTTGCATGGTGTGGCCCTACTGGGCTGAGGTGGATGGTTGTTGGTTGTCGGCAGAAGTGGATGGTAGAGGTTCTGGTACTAAAATCGATGGCTGTATTGGAGTGTGCATAAATTCTGTAATGGATCTCTGGGCTCTTTTACCCTGCAGTACATTATACAGCTGATGGTAAAGCATCATCAGCTGGTCTACACCCAGTTTGAAAGCACTGCTTCTAGATTTGTCAGGGTCCTCCTCAGTGAAAAAGTCTAATTTTACAAATACAGTGGACCCCCGCTTAACGATCACCTCCAAATGCGACCAATTATGTAAGTGTATATATGTAAGTGCGTTTGTACGTGTATGTTTGGGGGTCTGAAATGGACTAATCTACTTCACAATATTCCTTATGGGAAAAAATTCAGTCAGTACTGGCACCTGAACATACTACTGGAATGAAAAAAGTTCGTTAACCGGGGGTCCACTGTATTATGGAACTGCTCACGTAATTGCTGCAATGGTAACTTTTTCTTCAGGTTCTTCATCTTCTTCTGTTGTCTGGCTCCCTTGTATCTTGTCTGGCTCCCTTGTATCTGTGCATCGAGCTCTGCCAACATTTCCTCTGGACTCCTATCTTCATCATCTACTTCTAAGAGCTCATTCACATCTTTATTCATATCTTCAAAACCATCACCTGGTAATCTCTTGCTAGCTAAACAATCTCCTGAAACTGACTCAAGCAAGAGAAAACTAATCAAAGAATTAACTACAGAAGGCCATAACTTTTCCCAGCCTGCATTTAATGTTGACTGGGACACTTCATTCCATGCACTTCTAACATAGCTGATGACATCTGCAATGTTAAATTTATTCCAGAAGCTTGGTGCTGCCAAGTTGGAGTCAGAGTCCATTGGTGGAACCAGTTTTTCATAATTTTTTTTTTTGCGTAGTTACACTCGAATGACTTGACTCCCCGATCCAGTGGTTGCATTAGGGATGTTGTATTTGGAGGTAAAAATACAACTTTTACATGTGGGGTCACATCCAGCAATTATGGCACCTACTGGGTGCCATGATTGCTTGGCAGATTTAAGATATGGCAATTAAAATACGTATCTAAACAAACACAGCGAGCTGCTAGCAGAGGTTCGTCCAACAGACGTATGAACCCTTGCTGGGGGGATGATGAGAGTGCCAGAGGGTGGTGAGCGACGGCAAAATTTTTTCCCCTTCCATAGACTGAGCCATGTTAATTTTATGAAGTGTTGTAGAAAATTATGCCACAATTCTTCAATCATGCTATAACCAAAATGTGCCAAATAAACTCGTGTTCAATGATGGTCTACTGTACTAATATTGGTGTCATATGAGAATCGTAAACACTGATCTATTAACAGGAAAATCCCACAGGGGTGGAATAATTGTACTCAAAGTAAAAAGCATCCATATACAGTGGACCCCCGCATAACGATCACCTCCGAATGCGACCAATTATGTAAGTGTATTTATGTAAGGGCGTTTGTACGTGTATGTTTGGGGGTCTGAAATGGACTAATCTACTTCACAATATTCCTTATGGGAACAAATTTGGTCAGTACTGGCACCTGAACATACTTCTGGAGAGAAAAAATATCGTTAACCGGGGGTCCACTGTATGTATTTAAAAATAAAGGCTCCCTTTTCATATATATGCTTGCTCCGTTCCCTTCGTGCTTGTGTGAGACTAGTTAATGATCCAACTGCAGGTTATTTGTGTCATCTGTATATTTCTCACTGGAAAGTCTTTACTGTTAAGAATGTCCACTACAATTCTCTTTCACCATTTCTTTCTCTCGTCTTTCACATATTCTGATCTACTTCAGTTTTTTTTTCTCTTCACTCCTGACTGCTTTAAGTTTTAAATTAGCCTGTGGTAGGTTAGTCTACTTAAAGCATTCTTGCACTCCAGAAAACAGTTCGTCCAGCCCTATTTTATTTTGTATCCAGCCTTGACGTAAAACTCCAAAAGGTATGACAGGATTTCCCATCCCTGAATTTGTGCTGGTGTTCTAACAGTCTTACTTTTAAGTCTTCTACGAATTTCCTAACAACACTTTAGACTTTTGTATGGCGTGTATCACTGATACCGATCTGTAGTTCAGAAAGTGTGTGTACACTCACCTACTTGTACACACCAGGTTGTGGTTGCATGGGTCGATTCACAGCTCCTGGCCCCACCTCTTCACTGGTCACTACTAGGTCACTCTTCCTGCACCATAAGCATTATCATACTTCTTCTTAAAGCTATGTATGGATGCTGCCTCCAATACATCACTTCCCAGACTATTCCACTTCCTGACAACTCTGACTGAAGAAATATTCTCTTACATCCCTGCGATTCATCCGAGTCCTCAACTTCCAACTATGACCCCTTGTTGCTGTGTCCCATCTCTGGAAAATCTTGTATGTCCACCTTGTCAATTCCTCTCAGTATTTTATATGTCGTTATTATATCCCCTCTCTCTCTTGTCCTCCAGTATCGTCAGGTTGCTTTCCCTTAACCTCTCCTAGTCGGACATGCCATTTAGCTCCAGGACTAGTCTTGTTGCCAATCTTTGTACTTCCTCTAGTTTCCTTACATGCTTGGCTAGGTGTGGGTTTCAAACTAGTGCTGTATACTCCAATATAGGCCTGACATACATGGTGTACAGGTTCCTGAACGATTCCTTAATAAGAGGTCGGAATACTATTCTTAGGTTTGCTATGCACCCATATGCTGCAGCAGTTATTTGGTTGATGTGCACCTCAGGAGATGTGCCCGGCATTATACTTACACCAAAATGTGTGTGTGTGTGTGTGTGTGTGTGTGTGTGTGTGTGTGTGTGTGTGTGTGTGTGTGTGTGTGTGTGTGGTGTGTGT